TCAAATACGTATACTACCAAAAAGTTGCTAAGAACCTTGGGTTGATGTAACGATAATACACCAATATCAGTGAGAAAATCAAACTATTGAATACTATGAAAAAAATCTCTTCAAACCTTTCGCATATCAATACCGATTCTTAACCTTACTAAATCTCCTCCTAGCTGCAGAGGATCGGCAGATTTGTATGCCAGACAATATAAAATGAAACATATTTGTAAATTAAGTTTCTTCTCAAAAAAGTTTTGTATTACAAATATTTCTTTTTATTAATTGAATCATTGGATTGATCTAATTCTTCCTTTATTTTACACCGTTTAGTGCACTTAAAGTAGTAGTGTCTTGCATCCAAACAGCTTTACGAAACTAAGATATCCATCATTACTGATGTTTCCACGGTGTCCTAAAGATCAATGAGCACGTCCTTTTTATTAATGCGTTGTTATGGAGCATTTATGTGGTTGCTAAGGTGTCAGGAGCGATGTTTAGTAATACTGCTTTCGTGTATACATTTAAAAAATGTTCATTCAATTATCTTCACACATTAAGATTACTTTTTTAATGATGTCTTTAAAACATTTGTAATTTTTAGCCAACGAAAGTTTCTATATTGGCCGATGAACCTAGTACCTGGTTCCAGTATCTGGCCAATGAACCTAACGGGTTGCTGAGGTGTGAGGATTGAAGTTTGGTTTAGCTTCATTTAAACATCAATCCTCACATCTCCTCACAATCATCAATCATCGATCAATCAATCACAATTATAATAATCACAATCTAGGTTTAAACGTTGACTTTAATATCTATTAATATTTTAAAGCAAGGCTTTATAACGTATTGCTAACGAATTATTACAGAAACGTACTAGATACCAAATATATGAAATTCGTAATTAAATATGAAGCATCATTTCCTGCACCTAATATACCAAATATTGACACCATAACGTATTAATAACCTGCCTGATACTTTTGGAAGCACAGTACGCCATAGAAACACAGATAATGAAATTGAAGCACACCATATGAACTCATTGTAAACAATACGATACAACCTGAGTTAAATAGCTTGTATACCTGGTAGCATGTAGTAACCGCAAAGGGAACACCATGGTCCTTCTATCGAAAGCGAACAAATTAAAAGTCTCTCGTCAGCAGAGATAACGTTCCGCCACAATTCTTTATCCAAAAAGTTTCTTAGCAAACTCTACTTTTCCGTGGGTACCTTGTACCTGACCTTGCACGTGGCGGTTCGACCGTGAAAATTCGTTCTGCACAGTATTCTTGTCACCGTTTCGGGATGCACGATCTTTCCCACTGTTGCTTCTACTTCCGATGCCATTAGCGGAGCTGTCAACATTGGTTTTTTCCTCGCCTTTTGCACGAAGTTCATTTCCTCTCGTATAGCAAACGGTCTTGCTCGGCCTGAATGCGTGCGATAGTCCAGCCTGTCTTCACCTCAGAAGCGTCTAATCACATCCTTCACCGCGGCCTTCATCTGCATAGTTTCGGCAATTCGGTAGCCGCTACTTCCTTTGGTACGGTAAAAAAACCAACTGACGGAAATAAAAAATAATATTCCTTCCTCAGCAATCCATTCTTTTCATGAGCGTTTCGCAACGAACTAGAATTGGACTTGGAATCGAATCCTATTCATATTCATTTGAATTGTTATTTACTGCACGTTCTACATAGTATTGTTACAATTTCGGGATGAACATTCAGTGCTACTGTCGCTTCTACTTTCACTAATGTTAACATAAAATTCTTTAAAGAAAGCATGGGACACAGTTTACAATGCTATTGACACAAGTGAAAAATATAACATATTTTTCTCAAAGCATTCATTTCACTTTAACGCATGCTTTTCTCTCAAAAAGAGAAACTGTAATACTTGGATCACACAAGGAATTTAGAACATCGTGTGAAAACACGTACGCTTTATTTTATCATCATTACGTACCCCTCGGTTTCCATGTCTATTTCCGAGAATACAAAAGAATTTCAAGGAAAATAGTAGTTCAGGCAGAAGTAAAGAAAAAGAATCTGGATATTTTGAACGCAAATAGAAAAACTAAAGCAATGTGAAATTTATTAAAAAATACGAGAGAATTTTTTAAATGATAATAAAAGAGAAGCAAGTAATCCGAAAAAAGTGGCTAATCTCTTCAATCAACACATTTCTAGAATTGCGGATATAGTCACAAAGGGACTAAAAAAAATCAACATCATTCCCTTCCAAAAAATTTTTGACACTATTCATTTCCGTGACTACTTGTAACGAAATCCTGAAATGTTGTCACATTTTCCTCGTAATGAGGGTTCCCTCAGCCCAGGTAAGATAAGCAATGTTCATCGAATTCTCTTTGGAGGGCAATAGAAAAATTTTACGTATCAGTAAAAAATCAAGATTTATTCATTAGAATGCACTGGCCCTTCTGGTCCATATAAACTCATACACATAAATGTGGTCTGAAGAACTCTGCAGACTGCGGCCTGGTGAAGTTCGCCCGCGCACGAGCCAGGCAACAGGCTGAAGTGGAGCCCACAATAAGCGGGCTAGTTCTTGTGGGAGACGTTAATGTGACTCTCACACATTAGGGGAGTGTGAGGAAGCAAGACTCTATTGACGCAACACCGCGGACAGTTCAGTGCCTCGGGAACCAGTAAAGTTTGAACTTAACTGAGAATAAAGATGTTTACCAAGGATTGATTTGCTCCAATTACCGCACGCTTTGAAATAAAAATTGTGATAAATTTCAAATGTCCGCCAATAGGACTTTAATTGCGAAAAGGCAGAAATGTCGTACAGTACAGCGTGCTACACAGGGCCCTATAACTCCCATATAACGTGATGGAGACCATTACGGTGGCGCGCTCTGCTGCATTACCTTTTTTACAGGAACTAAACCTCGCACTGCTGCCGACGATCATTTAAACGTGCGTGGCTGCTGCGTGAGTTCGCGGGTCGCAAGCAGGCCCATGATGTTAAAAAAGATAACGCCTATGTTCGTGCTTTCTTCAGAGGTTTCGTGTAGATTATGAATAATTGAACATTTAGAAGACTTATCGTATTTCTCAGCAATTAGATAATTTGTAAGTGGGAAAGTTCGTGAGCCTAACCTGCAGCTGCACCCGGCGACATTAGCGCTTCCTATACTAGCACCCTCGAGCTCTGTCTCCGGTTTTGATGGAGAGTGGAAGCGCATGGTACTACACTGCTGAAGCTTACATAGTAACTGAATAGCACTTCGGCTGGAGGGAGCTCGGCTTGAGCTTGTAAGGGTGGGGATGCACTTCGACCAATGGAGACGGTGAGTTTGAATAGCGCCTGGAACTTTCTGGGGGCATTTGCACACGGCACAACGCGAATGTTCGAGTTGGGGGTTCCCACGTTGATTTTTCAAGCATATGGGGTAAGATTTGCATTTCATAATCAGGTCTTCTTATTAAACATTGTTGAACTATTAGAGAAGTCCATTTTTTCTATTATAAAATATACTATTATAAAAAAATCAAACGTTCCTGGACCAATGGAGTCGGTGGGTTTGAATAGCGACTGGAGCATTTGCACACGGCACCACGCAACGTGCGGGAGTTGCGCATGGGTGCAGGACCCATGGCGCTTTCATTTTAAGTCAAAAACCGTTAAAGGACTGCGTAACGGGAAGAAACGGATTCTTTGTGCCTTTTCGTAATTCTGTTATCTCTACCCTACGTCATACACTAGTTAAATTCTGAATGCAAAAAAAAATAGCGTTTTTAACAAGAATTGTTAACAAAATATTAGCTCCGATGAAGTAAAATCTTTTTTCAAGGGGAAATCAGCTATATACTTGGGCTCTTATCCCTCATTATGTCCTTCACGATGATGTGATACTTCGATCACAGCATTTGCTAAGAGTATAACGGTAACTGGACAAAGAACCTGATTGAAATGGGGTTATTGACCCAGATGTTGAGATACAATATTTGTTAGAGGTTGTTTAAAATTATACAGTCGAAATTGATAATAATACATTAAATACATCGTTAAAACATTGCTAGTGTATGTGGCATTCTGCATTGTCATTTGAGTGTGCGGCATTTCAGCATTGGAAGATAAAGTACTTTTTCCATTACGTTCTATTAAATCTTTCACATATATTTACAGTATTCGGTATGTCATACATTATTTGCCTGTTGGGTCGAAACATTAGGCTCTAAACCTTCTGGACAACAGTAGGAAAACCCGGTGCCTGCATCGCCATTACCCCTTGCATATAATATTCACTCTAAAATTATTGTATTTTATGTTTTCCCATCGAAGGATCATTTGAGAAGCCTATTCAGTCATGTCAAAATTATTATCTTACTATTAGAAAAAAACAAATTTCAAATAAAATAATTAACCCCTAACTAATAACTAACACGCACGCGGACTCAGACTCCGACCTCTTGTTTTCCCTCCCATTGCCAGTTAGCAAGATCTATTTTGTTATGGCGTTATTTATCTCTCTCGGACATATTTCTCGTACGCTTTGGTGTTACAAGTTCTACTCCCGTGTTTTGTGTTACTGTTTAAGCATATCGGGTAAGATTTGCATTTCTTCAACATATCTTATTATAAGTTATGAAGCACTGTTGAACTATTAGAGAAATCCCTAATTTTTTTCTATTATACAATGGGGAAAAATAATATTGTTTGTATATGTTGAATTGTATCATGTGTATGGTACAATTCAACAAATTGTACTGCCTGATTGTAACACAGACCACAATTCCGTAATATATTTTTCGAATTAAGAAACACAAAAAACATTAATAACAATCGAAAGTTACTTATGCAGTTTGTGTGATCTAGCAAAAAGTAAATAACAAAGTAACAAATCGTTTCTTTTTTAAAAACAATAAAACAACGTCATAAAACATTGAAAAAACTTCAGATAAATTATCAACATTTTAATTTAAATATATTAGAAAAACTTAAGACATCTAAATACTAACTCAAAAGAAAATAAATTACATATGAGGTTCATTCCAAAGAATTTCGCCTTTCAGACAGGCTGTGACCAACGTCATATGCCGCGGGGAAAAGGCTGTCGAGACAACTGTTTTATTATGGGATTGAAACCTTGATAACTCATGGAGGGGTACAGGACCATTTGCCGGGTAACAGGAAGAAAACTCGGAGCATCTTTCAGCAAACGATAGAAGCCTTACTCCATGGTGGAAAGGAGAACATATGATTCGACCATCGGCTGAGAAACTTACTTCCTTTATATGACCTCTGTGAATGTTCAGCTCTTGGATAAAGTGAGTTAACCTTGGGCTGTTCTGGGGAACGGACACACTGGTCGGTGCGATTTGTCGCGAGAAATTCCTCCCACAAGCGTCGGGGGGAGCTCCCTCTCGTTGCTGCCTCTCCTGCATCCGCTCCCGTGAATCTTCACTCGCTCTGTGGTCTCTGCCACTGTACCGTCCTGCTCTCGTGACGTCATGGTCTGTATGAAGGCCTCTACGCCGCACTACACCTTGGGCGCTTGCATGCGTGGATGTCCCAGCGACTGCTTCTCCCGGCTGCCCCGCCGGCAACTCACTCCGCCACCTCCATGGCATGGCTCCCCCCGGGGCTGCACCGGTGGCTGAGGACCACAGGGATGTGAAAGAGGCAGGTTGGGTGCTGGGTGAGGAAGAAGCGCCGCTTTCGTCCTCCCCACGTCCTCCAGCTGCTTCCTTAAAGTCTCCTCCAACAGCTGAGGGCGGTCGGACGCTGACTGAGACAGTAGTGCCACTGGGCCCCGCGATCTCGCCAGCACTGCATTCTCCCGTGGAATCTCCTGTAGCATCTCCTCCTGTCTCGCGGACGAAGGTCGACCAGACTGAGGGGGGAGGATGATGAGGACCGAGCGAGCAAGAATCGGCGCCCTCGGCGAATCCTCCAGTGGCTTCCGGGAAGGGTCCTCCAGCGGCCGAGGGCGTGCAGGGCTGCGGGGCGGAGGCTGAGGACGCAGCACCGCTGGACCGCGCGAACCCACCTGCACCAGATGCTCCCGCAGCATCCCCTGCTGCATTCCGGGCCCTGGCCACGCTGTCCGCGTGAGGAGCCGCGTCGAGAGTGTGTGGGTGGCCTGCCGCCAGCATGCCTTCCATTTCGGCGGACGGAGACCAGGCACTTCTGCCCGGTGACGCGCCTAATGGCTCTGGGGTTGCATCAGCTGCCACGGACGAGTAGCGTTGCATCCAGCTATAGGTTCTACGCAATATTCCCACGCGCTGATGCCGAGATGACGAGTCGCTGGACTCACTGGCGTCGTCCTCGAACATCAAACTGCCGCCGTCAGCAGAATCGGACGACAGGTCGCTCTCTAATTCGCCGCCGGACAAACAAGTGACATCCGACGCGTTGTCGTCCGCGTCGTCTTCGGGGCCAGACTCGTCCTCTGAAGAAGGCATATCTTGGATATCGTGGACACACGTCCATTCTGACTCGTTGTTGAGAGCTAAGTTGCGGCTAACCGTGCACCATCCTTGCGGATGTAGCTCCAACGATGAGATAATTTCGGCCTTGTCAGATTTTGGGAAGTCTGAAATTATTGTAGCTCGGTTGCGTTTGCGGGAGCTTGAAAACAAATAGGCATATCGACGGGGGGAGGGCAATGGTAAGCCGGTCTTTTGCATAACTCTATAAAGATTAGGTCTAAATCCGTCATAGTCATCCGCCAGAGTGGATAAAACGAGATTGTTCACTACTAGGAGGTATCCGTCCATTGTAGAAATTATTAGTTTCGACGCGTCAGGAGTTAAACGCATGCGAGTCAGTCCGCCAAAACGGAGAATTAAATTTCTAGCCTCGTCGTTTTCTCCGAAGTAGTTCATTTGCCAAGCAAATATCTGTCCGTCGAAACCACTAGATAGCAATAATCCATCTCTAGCTGAAAATTCAAGGTTGCGCACGTGGTTCCTGTGTCCGCGCAGGGTTCGAACGGATGACTTCAGATTCCTTGCATCCCAAAGAAGTACCCTTTTGTCATTGCCACATGTGCCGAATAAGTGATCGCGGATGAACCTCACGTGCCCTATGGGTGATATATGGGCATTATACACTACGGCTACAGTTGTATGCTGATGCGAGTCTAACAGGGTAATGCGCTTGCTTTCGCCCACAGCTGCTAACATTGAGCCGTTTGGGGAGAACGCCATACTGTATATGGCGTTATAATCGCAATGTCCGTGATTGAAGGCTTGATATGGTTTCATAGTAAAGTATAAACTTTTGTAAATGCTATCTGAGTGTCCTAAAGGTACCCTTAGACCCATTTCCCTCTTCTGAATCCACGAACGTATGCTTTCTTCTCGACGGGTCATTCTTTTCTTGGTTTGTTCCAAAGCTGAATGACCTGCAAAATCAAATATGTCTTACTGGTGATGAAGCACGAGCACAGCAAATTCAAACATGCAAAAAAGGACTACAAAGTATTTCAGACGAAACGCATTTTATTGATCTCAACCAGAAAGTAAATGAATATTGTACTACCATTGAGAAAAATTACGCTGTTCAAATCTTTTTTTTTTTTCAAATTTACAATGCAAAATGATGTGTTGAGACGTATCGAGAATTGAAATATAGTTTCTCCTGTAACTTAGACCATTAAAAGTTTGAGTTACGTAGTTTGAAGTCCGGAGAGCCACACCAGCGGCCGGCTGCTCTTATTGGTAGTTTTCTCTTCTTGTGAATGCCATGCGAATGCCGAAGGGGATCCTAAGAATCGAGCCACAAGCCGCGCGCGTTCCTTTCTTTCCGATTTTGGTTCCCTCTCTCCCCTTCTGCACTCGCACTTCTACGGTTTTATACCCTTCTCTCCACCGCATCGGGAGAGCAGTGGGCAGGCTAGAGGTTGTCCTGAGGGTGACCCACCGGAAGACGCATCAGGAGGGGAAATTACCTGCACAAGACGCGTGGGCAGACGGCGGCTCTCGCCCCAACGGCTGCCTCCGCGGGGATTTTAACTCGAGAGCCGGCGACTGCCCACGAGAGAGCTGCGGGAGGGGAGTAATTGGGGTGGGAGAAGCCTGACGCTGCACCGCGGGAACAACGCGTAGATTGAATCCGTGGACGGCTGATGCAATAATTTAAAATGTGAAATTATTAGCCCACTTATTGAAATGAGTAAAGCCCTTTATTTGTAACTACAGGGCCGTAATTCATCATTTGTTTTTCCCTGTGTTTGGAAATTATCGATTTTTTTTGGATTTTTTGTTTTTGTTTATGCTCATTGTGATTTGTGTGGATACTGGACACTAAACAATATTTGAATGCAATGGTCTTTGAAGTTATTATTTAATTATAACTAACAAAAATTTACTATTTCATTGTAGGTTTTCGTGTACGTTTATAATCGCCAAATGAAGGAAGAATGAAGAGTATCAAAAGGGAGGGAGTATCAAAATACTAGCATATGACACATTATTGTATTAAAATTCTTATGTTTCATCCATTGCGACAAGAAAAATATATTGTAATATTACTTGCCCCATTACACGCTGTTGAGGGAAAACTGCACTTCGATATCATGGTCCGTTTAGAAGTCAAGGGGGTGGCACGTAGTGAAACCGCGGACGCTCTCTCTCTCCCTCTCTCTCTCCCTCTCTCTCTCCCTCTCTCTCTCCCTCTCTCTCCCCCTCCCTCCTTCTACCTCTCTCTTTCTGTTTCTTCCTCTTCCTCTCTCTCCTTCTCTCTTTCTTCTTTCTCTCTCTCTCTCTCTCTCTCTCTCTCTCTCTTTCCTTGACATTCTTTACTACACTCTACTATATTAATGGCGAATTATATATTAAAGTTTTATGGATATAGCAGCACATTTGTGCACCATTTTCCCACATAATGCAACTGAGTAAAAGATATCAATGAGCAAACCTCCCTTACGTTATGTTAGGGATGATCAGTAGAAAATTGTGGGTATTGGTAAATAGAATGCAAAGGGCTTATTCTTTTTACACGATGTCATAACGATTTTGAATAGGTAACATTCATTATTCTATATTGGAAGTACGTAATGTACCCTTGTCAGATATTAGAGCAGAAAGTCATTTTTCAAAGTCATAGATCATTTTTTTAAGAATAAGATTGATTTAATGGCATTCAATTAATCATAGTTAATGAAAAAAAATATGTAAATTTTATCATCAACTACAAACAATTCAATAATACAATATGTACTTATCAGCTCTATAAATTTGTGATTACCTACAAGCAATTAAAATCCTTGGGTCCAAATCAAATACGTATCTCTCATTCATTTTAGGCTCATCAGTCGCATTGCCATCTATCGACAACAAGCATTTCCAATATGATACAAAAGCCAATGTTACTTTCTCTGTATGTATGTCCGTCGTTTTCTCGCCAATTGGTCCTTGAGTGAATGAGTCTCATCCCCACACTTCCCACATCTCCTCATTTGCACTCGAGTGTATTTTGCGCGGCCCCCGGGGTTGGTGAAAGTGCAATTGCAAGTGCAGGGCTCTCTAGCAGGAACGCCGCCATCTCCCGAAATATAACATGCTCCACAAGTGCATTTACACTACATAATTATCATAGCATTTTTCGTGTTAAAAATCATAAAAAATATCAATCGTATATATTTTGCTAACATTGACAAATGAGAGCCGTCAATTCATTTGTCGGTATCAATGATCCACAAAACAGATATCCTGGCTATACCGCGTGTTAGAGCATTCTTTTCTTAATGTAGCAACTGAATTTTTTTACTTTTTGTTATCAGGGCTCCCAAATTTTACCCCCAAGGAAGTTTTGCAAAATCTCAAAGCCTTGACTCGAGTCAGATGAACAAGGGTTTCTCCAATTTGGAAAAAAATCCTATGTATGCTTTAGGTGCTAGTGGTGTTCAAAAACTGTCGGACGGACAGATGAACCGGTGGAAAGACAGACGGACATCTTAATCGACATATCCAAGCTTTCCACAGAACATGGCATCAGGTACTAGTATACAAAATAAAAAAATAGGAACCCCTTATTACACCCCTCAATCATCCCGAGTTTTCTAACCAAGAGAACATTTCCAGCTACCGTCATTAACCACCACCTCAAGAAAATATGTGCAGGCCTTCCCAAAGGATCACAATTATTCCCCATACACTTTATTATCTGTGTGGTCGACTTAAATATAATACATTCAATAAAAATTGCCCATTTTGCTGACGACACGGCGCTATTTACTTGAGGACACAACCTCCCCAAATTATGTAATACAATGCAACTATATTCCTAATCTAATCCATAGCCGGGGAGCTAAACTAAAAAACAAACTTCACCTATAAAAAACCGCTACCTAAATATGTATGCGCAGACCGTACACTTCTCCCTCTCCCCTGATCTTAAACGACGAACCAATAACATAACACATAAAACACAAAACTTAACCAGAAAAAACCTCCTTCAAACCAATGTTAATCAAGCAAAAATAAAATTACTACAACTAAATGCGCTAAAAGTGAGATACAATGCACAAGAGCCACTTCTGATTATAATGTTACACTTATCAATGAAATAGTCAACAAGAGAATTAATTTAAAAAAATGTAGTCTAAGTTTAATAAAATTACATTGGAACTTTAAAGCTGTGCAGTAAATCAGTTGTTTGTAAACCTAAATTATTCTATTATGCCTTTCAATATTACTGTACTTTATTAATTACGAATCATATACCAATAATAAACAGAAATTGTAACTGCACACATCTTAAGAAAGCCCGACGCCGTAGTTAGGACCAACGCTTTGACATAGTTTATTTAGTGATTACGGGCACACCAACTACATGGGTCATTGATCTCGTAAGTGTAACGCATGAATTTTACTACCGATGTAGCGATCAACTTTTTCCCGCTGTATGGCTAATTCCGGCGCCGACCTACCATCGGCTAGCGAGGTTTTCCCGAACCAGGAATCTCCCACAAGCAGGGCAGCGCTTTAGCCGAGACAAGCTCTTAGCTCCCGACGGATCTCCCGGCATGTGTGATAGTGTAGTACATGTTTGTGTCAGTGTGTATATAAAGGGTGATAAATGGATTTGAAAGAGGAAGGTGAGGTCGCGCGCGATCCGTGGCCCGTTCGTATGGGTACTGCCCCGGCAATCCCCAGGTGTTGATCGGAGAAATCACGGAAAACAACTAATCAGAGCAGTCGACTGCTGGCATTCTCCTCCAGACACTGAATTTGATCTAGCCAACAAGTTAGTGTCGAAAATCTTGGCACAATCGGGACTCGAACCTAAAGCTTTCCGGTCAGAGAGACTGCAGTAACATCAGTTGATGCCCTGAGCTATCTCTCACGGTAATGCTATGACATGTTTTCATTACAAATGCAGTAATAAAATTTTTAAAACCTTTGAATCCCTGAAGTGGCTCACAATATTATTGGGACGGACGATGTATTAAAGGCAAGATGCGCTTTATTATTGCAGCATTAGTGCTTCCTTCTACCAGCGTATCATTGAGGTAATTACGTCTCTCGGACAAAGCTACGGTATGTTAAAAATTGGTATCCGACCGAAACTGAGAAGGAAGTTAGAAGTTATTGCATAGAGCATCGCAAAATCCGACGTCAACAAAATTATTTGGATTTCTTAGTGTAGTATTTATCCAACAGAAAGCAGTAATTAACAATTCAACTGAAAATGAATAGGATTCGATTCCAGTTTCAATTCTAGTTCGTGCGAAACAATCGCGAAAACAACGGATCGCCGAGGAAAATATTATTTTTGTTCTTTGTCAGATGCTTTTCTACATTCCACAGAAAAAAGCTGCAAACGAATTGCAGAAACGTTGCAGATGAAGTCCGCGGGTTGGGATGTGTTTAGACGCTTCCGAGATGAAAACAGACTGGACTATCGCCCACATTCAAGCTGACCAAAAGCGTTTACTATACGCGAGGAAATGTACATTGTAAGAAAGGCGAGAAAAAAATACAATGTTAACAGCTCCGCAAATAGCATCAGAAGTAGAAGCGACAGTGTCAAAGAACGTGCATCAGGAAATGGTGACAAGAATACAGTGTAGAACGAATTTTCAAGGGCGAACCGCCACGTGCAATGTGAACCAGCCGACAAGTAATGATCGATAACAAACTCCTTTTCAAATATAAAGGATTGTGGCGGATCGTTATCT